TCATTGTTGTTTGGCGGGTCCGGGCTGGGGATTCGAACCCGCCACCTTAGGTGTACGTGGCTGGCGCCTTAGCCGGTTGAGCCACAGGCTTTCCTTTAAGGAATCTGGAATTTTGTCCCGCCACTCAGTCAGAGGGTTCCTGGGTGGTGATCCTCCCAAGTCCCCAATAAAAACTTTGGGTGCTGAAGCCTCTCAGAGCTGAATCCTCTGAGAAAAACATTGCACAATGTTGCTAATTTTTTTGTTGTTGGAGAAAGAAGCACAATGTTGCTGCTTTTTTTGTTGTTGGAGAAAGAAGGGTGCTGGAGTGTTCCTCCCTCAGGGGAAGGAGAGAGAATAAGGAAGCCTGTGTGTGGACTTCTGCATCTTTTCCCCTTGTGATCCAGCTGTGTCTTCCTACTGCATAACTGTAAGAGATCTGAGCCACTGATCAGTCCTCAAACCTGGGCTGGTCTCTTGGGGACTACCAACAAGATATACAGCTCTTTTTTCTGCCTGGATCTAATTTAATCTATGACATCTGCTCTTTTGAGAAGGTGAACCTTATGGTCCTTGAGAAGTCTTTTTTTTTCCTGGAGACATATTAATTAACCTTTTATTACTTGTGGAAGAAAGCAGGTAGAATTGATTAAAGGGAGAAAAACCATTTATCCTTTTGTGTTTATCTTTTTTATGTGTGTTTAGTAGAGGTGGTTGAAGTCCAACTTTACAGGCTGCTAAGATACGTATAAACAAGACTAGAGTATGTTTTACTTTATAATTGTGTCCATAGGTATAAAAATTCATACATTGGGATTCCTCCATTGGCCTTCTTTCTCACATGCTAGAAACAAACTTTTGTGGATGCATACTTTTTACATGCTCTGGTGTTTTACACATATATTTTATTTGATTTCCTTTTAAAAAATACTAATTGTAACCCATTAGACTGATTTCATGGTACACTATTGGGTTGTGACTCATAGTTTATAAAATACTTTGCTGTGTGGTGTCTCGTCCATTTTATTAGAGTGAAACTTAGGTACAAACAACAAACTCAGATCTAAGTTATCCAAAGGAATTTCATCCTTATTTAAAAGAAGAGGATAAAGTCTGTGCAGAAAATTTTGTTTCAAGAAAATCAGAAATAATGTATGATTTTGTATTTTCTAAAATTATAGGTTTTCTTTAACTTCTGTTGGCAAAAATATTTTTACTTGACATTAAAAGAGAAAAAAATATCACAAGGAAATCCATTTTCCTGAATTAGAGAAATTAAGTAGGCAAATTCAGATAACTTACTGTTTTATGACAGCAAATACCTGGCATTAATGCTGTTGTACTGCCCTGTGCCCATGACAGGAATTGCCAATCGATCAAATCATTCTTTGTCACTGGTTTCCGAGGTGGCTTCATGATTACACTCAGCCCTCCTGGTAGCCTCTACCAGTTGAGTAGATTTGGCCCTGAGTTGAAGCCTGTTTGTCTTAACTGTTCCCACTCTATTAGTTTCCAAGGCATAGCACCATAAATACGAGGAAAAGGAGGGTGTGATCTACTGCTTACTTATGAACAGGCACGTTCTATTAATGTCTGCTGGTGGTTCCTCTTTGATATGCAGAAAATAGTAAGATTCAAGGCAGTGAATAAAATAGTTTATTTTTCACTCTGAACCTAAGGGATGTTACTGAAGCTTCCATTTTAGTATGAATATTATGATGAAGGGGCTGAAATTTGTGTGTTTGGAAGAAATCGTATTGGAAATAATTTTCCATTTGGAGCCTTAATTTATATTTGACCACACAGGGACTTGTATCTTGATATAACGTGTTCATATGTCAAATTTATTAATTTTCTTCTAATGCATATGATTTCCAATGGGAGAGAAAGTTTAGGAAATTATAGGCATTTAGTCACAGAATAGGGGACATTTATTGTCTAAGTAGTTGTGGAAACTTATAAGTTGATTTTTAACTTTTATTGTATAGTAAAACACTGGACTCTAATTATACTTGGGTTTGTATCCTGACTTTATTTACTAACTATAGCTACTTTATTTACTAATTAAGCAGATGCTGAGAAAATCCCTTCAACTCCCTGAGTCTCAATTTCTTCTTCTCTTAAAAGGAGGTTGTCTGTACCATCACTCTTAAAAGGTTCATCAAAATAGCTTATGAAATATCTATAATATACAGACATACAGGCTGTCCATAAAGTTCATGTTGTACAAACATATACATTATCCCGTGAAGTGCTTTATAAAAATCTTTTTAAAAAAAAAAAAATTTGGATTTGTGTGAAAAAATATACATTCAACATTTTAAATTATTTTTGCTGAGGTTTTTTGGTAATATTTATGGTTAAGATTTAAGAATTTAGCTGATAGTTTAAGACTATAACCTGAAGTTCAGGCTTATAAATCTGTAGCATATTTACAATTCTCAAAAATACCACAGTAAGCAAAATAATGGCCCTCTAAAGATGTTTACTTCCCAATCTCCAGAATTTGTGAATATGTTAAGTCACATCACAAGGGGAAATTAAGGTTGTAGATGGAATTAAAGTTTCTAATCAGCTGATTTAAAATAAAGAGATTATCCTGGAATTTCCAGGTAGACCCAGGGGACTCACAGAGGCTTTGAAGGTGGAGGAGGTGGGGTAGAGAGAGTCGGATATGTGGCTGTGGAGCAGAGGTTGCTGTGATGTGATCACTGGCTGTGAAAGGTGAAGGGTCATAAGCCGAGGAATGTCGAGCAGCCTTGGAGCAGCCTCTAGAAGCTGGAAAAAGCAAGAAAATTCCCCTAGGAGGTTCTCGTGAAGGATTCTCTCCTAGCACCTCCAGAGAAGAACTTAGCCTTGCCAACCCCTTGATTTAAGCCCAATTCAACCCATTTTATATTTCTAACCTCCAGAACCGTATAATAAGCATTTGTATTATTTTAAGCCAATGTCGGTAATTTTTAGCAGGAGTAGGAAACAATATACCCATTTATTATAAATTTCTAAAAATGGAATCCAAATTTCCATATGCCATTTAAAAAAATTCTTTTAACTTGAAGTCATGAGAGCACAGTGGAGAAATTTAGAAAATACAAAAAAAGTTGAAAATTAAAAAGTATCTGTTTTTCTACCTTCTATCAATGATAAGTTAACATTTTTGCTGTATTTCTTTCTGGATTTTTATCTGTAATTTTCTTCTTTCAAAATCTAACGGGGGTACAAATGTTTTTGTTACATGGATACCTTGTTTTATCTATGTAAATTTTAAAAGTTGAGTTCTGTTTCATTTGTGTTTATGTATATATCCTGTTTTTTTTAAAATATCATAACAAACACTTTTCATGTTAATTTTAAAAAGAAAGTTTTTCATAATTATTAGTTTTAATGGTTCCATAGTGTGCTATCATGGATAAAATACTATTTATTTAACCATTTCCCTATTTGAAGCCATTGAGGTTAGTACCATAGTTTAATTAGTATAACTGGTTTTGCAAGGAACATCTTTACGAATGGAACTTTTTCTTTGTTTTGGATTATTAAGACAGATTCCTAGAGTTGGAAAGATATGCTCTTTTGAAGGAGGTTATTATAGAATTAGATAAATGGCGGTGGAAAGCTTTGAAAATACATGTATTGTACCTTGCCTGTTCTGAAGTGACATCATCATAAACAAATTCTATCTTTATGATTTGAGTGTAGAATTCTAGGACACTGCACAGGTGTGGAAATAGTGGATTTTGGGGGAGAAACTATTTGAATGAGCACAGAAAATTTGAGAGCTGGAATCAGAGAGTAGGAAGTGTAAGATAGTGTGTGGGAAATCCTGTTCATCCTTTCTCTAAATTCTCTACATTTTTTCCAAACTGATGTCTTTGCTCATGGTTTTCTTTTCACGTACGCTGTTCGTTTCTGCTGTTCATTTCTGCAGTCACCTTTAGTGTAGAACTCCTGCTGATCTGTCCAGGTTCAGCTGAAATATGGGTCTCCTCCCTGAGAACCTGCCCACTGGCTCTTTTATGCAGCTAATTAAGTTCTCATTCTGGTCTTAGTGTTTGTGGCTGTCTGTCTCCCTGTTAGGTCGTTAACTCACTGATGCCAGGTTTCATTTATTCTCTACTTATTTTATACAACAAGCACTGTAAAATTTTGAAAGATTGAGTGGGAAAAAAAAGCAAGCTAAGTAAAAATTCTGCCCAGGACACTGTTCTTTGATTTTCCACTTACATCCTTCAATGGAAAGCTGCTGATTAGTTGGGTCCTAACCCTAGGTGATTTTTCTACATACTACATTGTTGTATTAGTCTTCCTAAAATTCTGTTTTCACAAGTCACCTAACCACCTTGATTTTTCTTGTATATAAAACAGAAAGGTTAAGCTGGGTGACTCTCAGGTGTTCTTTTAAATTTTATCCTTCTAGATCACTAAACTAGCTGAGAAACCATTGTCTATTCAGCATTTAAACGATGGTAAAGTTGAACATGTTAGCCTGCTTTTAAGCCTCCTGTATTGTGGTTGATAAATCCGCAGTGCTTATTCCTGTATCAGTGTGTAGTTTGTTCCTTCTTTGGAACATGCTTCTCTTCTTGTGGTGGGTTCAAGTCCAACCCATCCTTCAAGGCCTAACTCAGATGCTGTTTGAAATGCCTGGACAAGGCTTTCTTAGATCTCGTTAGCCAGACATAGTTCTCCCCGCTTCGACCTCCTACAGCAGCTGTTCTCTCTCTGTTCCACACTGTCTGTTTGACTCTTAATCATAAATTATCATATTGATACTCAGCATCATTCACTCATTCGGGCAGCATTTTTTGAGACCTGTGATATTCCTTTTCTGTGGCATATTTTCCCAGAGAGATTATAAGCTCTTTCAAAGGCAAGAAATGTGTCCCTTCTTCATCCCATCAGAAGTATTCCTCTTGAGAAATGTGTCCCTTCTTTATCCCATCAGAAGTATTCCTCTTGACTGGCCATTTATTTAAATGGAATCAAATTGCATTGAATCCTTGTTAAAATTATACAAAGTTTTGCCTCAGCAACAACAGTATTAACAAATTCTATCATTTGGAGAGTGTCGTGCTCTTCAGAGGATGCTGAGGGCAGACAGTTTTTTATCTTAGTCCTTGAATGAATATGACTGTATTTAGAGATAAAGGATCAGTATGGATGAGTCACAGATGTTTGGAGGGGTTTGTAAGAGAGATGGTGAGTGAATGGGGACTTGAACTGGGAATACTCTACTAACAAGTTGGTATCGTAGGCGTTGGGACTTCTACTAAGGATTTGGGGGGAGCTTTGTAGTGTGCCAAATAAGGTTTCGGAAATGGTTGTGAAATGGTATGAATTGGAAGGGGAAGGCATAGGATGTTGAATAGTCATGTTTGCAGTGGTGTAGGCTGTGGGAAAAAAGCCTCGGTGAGTAAGGAGGCAGGGGTGGGGGTCTGCTGCTACACAGTTTGGCTTGAATTCATCTCTATGGTCTACTGGTTGTAAGGTGCTGGGCAGCATTCTCAGTCTCTCTGCCTCAGTTTCTTCATCTGTAAAAATGGGATAATTGCATTCCCTTTCAGGGTTATTATAAGGAGTGAGATAATGAGTGGAAGGGATTCAGTGGGACCTGATCCGTAGTAAACTCACCGATGGTGTCTGCTGTCAACAATGATGGTGATTGTTTCGGTTTGCCAAGCATTTCTCCTTGTTTCCTCTTGTAATCCTGAATTGTGGTGGTTGTATCATACTCTTGTACACAATTGTATCTGCTGATGATAAATACTTCATTTCTTAAAAATTTGTCTGCTATTAAGTGAAGAAATGATTAAATCTCCATTTCACCTGTAAGGATCACTAATGTTAGAAACTAAAGGGCCGTTGTATTTTCTATTTGGCCTGTGTCAGCACGTTCTCCAGGCCCTCATTTTACCTTATATTCTTGTTTGTGTTAGGTTGATCTGTTATGTTTCTCTTTCCTTGATTGTATATTGCTGGGTGCTAATCATCTTTAAATGGTTCATTAGCTATGATGATGGCTTTTTCTCTGTTTAATAATGAATTCTGTCAAAAGACTTTATCATACCACTTGAACATGGTTAATTGTACCATTGGTCCTCATACAAAATCCCAGTGTGTCCTTTGCGATTGCTCTAAAACTTTGTTTTCTAATTTGGCTGGGTTGAGGTTTTTACTGAGTTTAATACTTTAAGAATATGAAAAAAAGTCTCTTCCATCTCCTGTTTAGAATTTCTTAGTTGCATGACAAGTTCAACTGATTGGAGTAACAGGAGCCCTCAAATTATGCTAAATAAGTACATGTGCTTTTCAATTTCACATAAGCCAGGAAATTATGATCAAAATATGTGGCTACTATAAAAATCTAGTTTTCATAAGAGTGTCATAATATTTCTTTCTTTAATTTGTAGTGGTTGGAATTGGAAGGGGAACAAAAATGTTGACCAGTATGTTGTCAGGGTCCAAGGTAAGAATATTGAAATAGTTCTATTTTTCTTTAATGTTTTCCTTAATGACCTACATGTTTTAATTGGATTTTATCAATTAAAAAATAAACTGAGTAAATTGCATAAATGAGTGTCATTCTTGAGTATTAATCACAGTCTCTATAAACATAGTATCTGAGATTCAAAATACTGAGACTGTAAATTGGAAATTCTTAATGGAAACACAAAAAGAAGCAGAAAGTCTGTGGTGCCAAGAATTTTAGAAAATTATTCAGTAGAACCTCTGTAAGTTGACCAGTTGAACAAACTGGTCAACCTATGGAGGTGGTCAGCATAAGGAACTAGGCCTACTGTACTGATAACGTACATGTGGTACATGTCCAGACTGTGAAACTTAGGTCAGCTTAAGAAGGTGGTCAGAGTAGGGAGGTGGGCAGCCATGGAGGTTCTACTGTATTTAGATTTTTTTTTTAATAGAGACAGAGTCTCACTCTATCGCCCTTGGTAGAGTGCCATGGCATCACACAGCTCACAGCAGCCTCCAACTCCTGGGCCTAGGCAATTCTCTTGCCTCAGCCTCCCGAGTAGCTGGGACTACAGGCTCCCGCCACAACGCCCAGCTATTTTTTGTTGCAGTTTGGCCAGGGCTGGGTTTGATCCTGCCACACTCGGTATATAAGGCCAGAGCCCTACCCAATGAGCCACAGGCGCAACCCTGTATTTAGATTTTTTTAAGTATAATCACATTTCTTAAATGAAAGGGAACTTAGAGGTCATAAATTCTAGTGGCAGATTATTATTATTATTATTATTTTTTGAGACAGAGCCTCAAGCTTTTGCCCTGGGTAGAGTGCTGTGGCATTACAGCTCACAGCAACCTCCAACTCCCTGGCTTAAGCTATTCTCTTACCTTCACTTCCTCAGGATCCTTTTCAGCATGGTTCCCTTTCATACAACCACTATCAATTAATGGATGGGTTGCTGGGCTTTGCCATAAAATCTTTAGGCCATCAGGTCATTTTGTTTCCATCTGTGAAGAACAGACAGCATTCAGACCCAGTTCTTTTTGGATTCCCTCCCATTCAGGTCAGGATAAGAGTTAAGAAAAGAATCCTCCTCTGTATTCTCCCTCCGTATCCTGCTCTCCTGCCTCATAGTAAGCTTTGTTCTGCCAAGAGTGTTTTTCCTGAGTCATTTTATTTTTCACTGCATGCTCTTTTGGAATTATGTGTTTAATCTGTGTAAAATGCATATAAATTTTCTACACAGTGCCTTACTTATAGAAATTGCTCAACAAATATTGTTAGGACTATTGCTGAGAATGCTGCTGTCCCCAGATCTCTCCCCTGAGTTCTAGGTCTGCTGGAGCTTTCTAACCACCTGCTTGGTGGATTCCTGAAATTAATTTTACCCAAACAAGTTCTGCTGGAAATCTTGAATACAGTTAATTTCAATTCTTTCATTCCTATCTGTAATTTCTGGTGGTATAGGCAAATATAACACTAATCGGAAAGAGAAAACATGCTGATCCTTCAAGGGAGAGACGGATTTTCTCTAGGCATTAAAGTCAGGAAAAAAATTCTTACAATAAGGGGTAGACAGATGGTGGTTCCGAAAAAAAGGTTCACAACAGATGTAGAAGTGGATCAATGTAAAATATAACTTAGGCAGAATGATCTGAGAGGTTAGACTAATGTGTTCCTTTGGCCTAAATTAATCTAAAAATAGCATGTACATAACCTAGAGGAAGGCGGCAGTCCCTCTACTATCTTCCCTAATTACACTTTCTTGGAGCCATTCAGCAAAAGCAGATCCGGATAGCAGATGTTGTACTTTGAAGTAACAGACTTTGATGAAGTTTTGGAGTACAATCTTTATTAGCTTTCTGTGTTTCTGATTAAAATTGGTTACCCTATAAATGCTTTAGAAATGAGATGAACGGATGGTAGAGTTGATGTCCTACTAATATTATGAAGACATGAAGAGTCTGACTAGCATTTTCCAGATACAACTGTATCTGGAACTGTAAAGAGCTGCCCCTATCTGTGTGGCAGTAAACTAGTGGTACCTTCCGGCGAAGCCACCGTTTCCTCAGAAAGCAGCTTTGACTTCTCTTCTAGCAATTGAACAAGTGTTGTCACTGTGATGTACAAAGTTTCCCACCTAGAAGTGGTCAAAGGAGTGTTACTTTCCCCAAGAACACAGTAACATTTTTAGGTTAACCAGTCACGAAACTCTGAAATGTGACTCACAACTTAGCCAGCTCTTTAAGATTTCAGTGTTCCTGATCAGTTTTTCCCAGAAACCCGTCCAATTTGTACCTTTTCTAGGTTCTCTATTAATATTTACATATTTCATAAGTGTTATATTGAAAATTTTGGGCTCGGTGCCTGTAGCTCAGGTAGCTAAGGCGCCAGCCACATACAACTAAGGTGGCGGGTTCGAATCCAGCCAGGGCCCGCCAAACAACAATGACAGCTGCAACCAAAAAATAGCCGGGCGTTGTGGTGGGCGCCTGTGGTCCCAGCTACTTGGGAGGCAGAGGCAGGAGACTCGGTTGAGCCCAGGAGTTGGAGGTTGTGGTGAACTGTGAGGCCACGGCACTCTACCCAGGGGGACAGATTGAGGCTCTGTCTAAAAAAAAAAAAAAAAGAAAGAAAATTTTGAAGGGCTTTTTATATTTACGAACTGTAAAGAGCCATTCCTTAATGAAGGCATTCAAAACCACGTTTGGGGGTTGGTAGTTTTAAAAAAAATGTTCTTATCCTAAATACTATGATTTTGTTTGCTTGTTTGTAAAACTCTGAATCACAAGCTTTCAAAATCAAATCTCCAAGCAGTTGCTAACTTGAGATAGAAATGATTGTATGTACTTCTGTAATGTAAACTTTTTTTTTCTCTTCCGGAGTACAAAAGTAGATTTGCTCCTAGAGATGACTAGCTAATACCTGCCGTGGGGTTCAGGGAACTTGGAGATGAGTAAGGCAGGGAGGAGGGCGGTATCAGTGAGAAACCGTGAGTCCCAGAGAGCACACACGTCAGTGGGAAATTCTGGGCCTCCATCTGCGTTGTTGTAGTGGAATCATGTTGTAATGAATACAGTAATAGAATTTACAATTCCCAGTGACACATCTAAAGACCATCTCTGTGTAGAATTTAGGTCAGTGAAAGAAAGGACTTCAGACCCTGTAAGATGAAATGGTAGGGTTGAATATATAAATGTTTGTGTCTTTTTTTTTTTTCTTTCCCATATCTTTTTCATGGTGAGGCTTTGTTTCAGCTAAGGCAGTGGTTCTCAACCTTCCTGATGCCGCTGCCCTTTAAGACAGTTCCTGTGGGTCACAACCCACAGGTTGAGAACTGCTGAGATAAGGCCTAGCTGCCTGTGTGGGTTTTTCTAAGTAGTTTGTGGATAATTACAAACTAATAGGAGTGAAGAAAACTGAATGCCAGGACAAGGGAAAGGTAGGAAATAGCTGAGATGTAAATTGCCAGTTCCCGAGTTGTGGTCTGACTCCTGAGGCTCTTTCAGGGGATCTGTTGAAATCAAGACTATTTTCATAAATTTGCCTTTTCTATTTGCAGTCTCATAAATACGCAGAGCTTTTCAGATGTTACCAGATGTGCAGTGACATCACGCTCTGGTGGCTAATGGAATGTGTGCATGGGTATTAGTGTTTTAAGCATTTTTCAGCTTTATTTTCTAATACATTAATTTCTCATATATATATATATACACACACATACATATGTGTATATGTGTATCACACCATATTTTTAAGAAGTTTGTGCCAAGTTTTCTCAGTAAGTTTTAAATGGGTATAAGGGTTCTGGTATCAAAATGTTTGATAACTTTTGATTTGATATTGTCTCCCCTGAAAAGAATACACCATACAGCTAGATCCAGCGTAACTGCAGAACCTAGAATGGTTTAAGATTTAGCAGGTACAATCTAGATGTGAAAACTGTGGTAAAATATGAACTTGCACCCATAGGAACCTCTCCAGCAAGTGCATAATTCTGTCAACTTTTTATGAAGCTGCTACTGTGTCTCCACCTAGTAAGGAACAGAGTAGAACAACAAGGCAAAATCCCAACTAACAGACTGTATTGGGGAGGCAAGGATCAATAAAATGTACTTGGAAAACAGCGAACGTTTATAGATAATCACGTGCTAAGCAGGGTGGTATGTGTATGAGAGCTCAGTAAGTTAAACCAGACGCGTCTGTGTTGTCCGTTACCGTCATTATACCATTATACGTACTCAGGCCCCTCTGCAGGGAACTGAGCCTGTCTTTACTGGTGGCTTGCCCCGTTACACCGTAACCTCCCAGAGACAGCCACTCTAGGATGTGCCTGTGTACCTCTCATGAGCACCTAGGGGAATATGTTGTACATTCACAGTCCTTAAGAAACATGATTGCATTTATGGATTTGATACAGGCCTTCATTCTTTTTACCTATAAAATTTGTATTGAACACCTGCGGAAGTGGGTAATTGGGAGATGGGGTGGATTAACAGGTGATTGAGAGTTGGGCTGGATTAACAAGGTGGCTTTGAAAGATGAATTCGGTTTGATCCTTAGAGAGGAGAGGGAGTACCAGGCTAGGGAAGTAGCATGTGCCAAGGCACAAGACTCCCGGAGTCCAGAGACTAGAATTGGCATTACATGCTTGAAAAACATGTGAAGGCTCCTGGTCCAAACTCAGTGTATGGCAGAATAGTGCACATCCATTCAGGGCACAGTGTACGGGATTGGACTGTGTTTATCTTAGGCACCAAAAGGTCACAGGGAGCTTTACTTTTCCTTATGGGAACTCACTCTGACTACTTTTACTGTGAATCATTCTGCATCTTCTTTTCTTAAAAAAAAAAAAAAGATAATATTGTTATCTGCTGCTTACCAGGCTTAGGTATTATTGCTCTAAGGCTTTGCTTCTTCTCATGAGGTACTATTATTCTCCGCATTGTAAGATAAGGAAATGAAGCTCCAGCAGGAAGGACTAGCTTAACCCTACTTGGCCGGCTGTGCTGGAGTCCGAGTTCCAGCCCTGCTCATTTGACCTGCTGGGCGTCTTTCTCCCCATGATTTGCTTAGTCAAAGTTGATTGCTCCAAAATATGGAAGCCAGAGCAGGGTGTCTGGATGCAATAGGACACAATAGGACACAATATTGCAATAGGATGCAATATTTAGTTGCAAGAAACTAATTTTTGTCAATTCCCACAAAACTTAATGCAAATGCATTGGCGCATACCCTCCTGTGTTTATAAAAAGAAAATCTGAGCTATATAATACGAAGCTGATTTCCTCAAAGACCCATACCATAGGCTAAAATGTCTGCATGTTTATGGGATTTCAAAGTTTTAATATTTTCCTCTATTTTGTTCTGCATAAGTTTGTCATTAATAAGCTTACATTTCTTCAAAGCGCTTTGAGCTGTCTCTGTTAAAGTTGCTCACATAAATACAGATTAGTTTCAGTGGGAAATATATTCCTTGTACCTTTCTCACTATTTTGTGCTCCAAATAAAATTTGAACTTGACCAAAAGAGACTAGTGAAGAGAGTATGTACTACAACTGTGCCCTAAAGATGAGAAGATAGTCCTCGGCTAAATGACAATAATCTAATTCTTCTCTTGTGAGTAACGATCAGTTCTTAAAAGGGAATTTTTTTCCTTTGGGAGAGCTGACGTATCAATTTTTCTTTCTTAAGGAAACATACGTAATTGTTACAGGCACGACCTCTCCTATACTAGTTTTGCTCACTTTCTACATATTTAGCTTTTGCTAAGATTTGTCTCAGTGTTTCACATAAGAAATAATAAATCAACTTACTTAAAGTTAATTATGTATGCAAGAAAATTATTGAATCTTGTGATGGCCACGTCATGGTTTCTTTTATCTACTCATGGATATAGTTGAAAATTTTTCTTAAGAAACAAACTTCCCAGTATAAAAATGGTTGTAGAAATTTGCTTGCAGTAACAACAGTCATAATGAACCATAAAAACCTGTTTTTCGTTCTCAGGTTGGCTGGTGTGGGAAGTTTGTGAACGTTCCTCAGCTTATACAATCGCTTCCCACATATCAAAACAAACTAATGACGCAGTCGTCTGTTATTTTTGCCTTCGTTTTGTATGGAGTTGGTAGTATGAGTTAAATGCTGCACATAGAATTCTGCGCGTGCATTCTGCAGTGGCATGACAGCTTTTCTTTACCTTGTGACCCACTTTTCTCCGTTTCTCTTCCTCTAGAGGTATATTGCCATTGGAGAGCTGGGGAAAGCTACTGACACGCTAGATTCCACAGGGAAGGTGACAGAAGAAAAGCCCTATGGTATGAAGTTCATCTTATGTCATTTTTTAACATTTAGAGAAAGTTTCTGAGAATGCAGAATTTTAAAATAAATTTCTTACCTCATATTTCCAGTGATTTCAGTTCTCAGTAAATTTCTTTAGGATAAGAATGGAAATGATTTATCACATTGTGGCTTATTTGATACGCTTATGAATAAAGGTTTATTGTTATTGCCTCTTTTCCTATAATTGTTTTCAGGATTAGCATTATTCTTCCAAATAATTCTCTCACCAAAAAACATTTATAGCTAGGATTTAGATTATTTTCCCTAGTAAGAAACAAAGCAGAGATACTCTTGTTAGATTTTATCTGTCTTGCCTTAAAAAAAAAAAAAAAAAAGAAAGAAAGACACAGTTGTCAGCTGTTGAAATCCATGTGCCAGGTTTAATACTTTAAAACTAATCACGTTTCTGTGCTTTTGGAGTATGGAAAGAGATGATGGAGGGAAAGCTATTTCTCTGGAAGTAAAGCGGAGCTCACTGGTGCCCACCTTAATATTTCTACCATTCCTACTTGTAGAAAGAATAGATAAATGAACTGGTCTCCTAGCAACTCTCACAGTGCCTATGCTATTTATAATGCAGCAGTTACAGCTTTGTAAGTCAGTTCACCTGCATTATTATGTCACCAATTGTGAAGTATTTGTAGACTTTCTGGTTTTTCCTCTGTGTTTAATGTTATCTCTTAATTTAGTTGTAGGCAGTCTAGCCTCTGCCCCGCACATTATTTTTGTGTTAATTGTCCTTATTATATATTACATATTGTTCCAGTGGGGAGCCCAACCTTTTTCTTGTTCATAATAGCTTCATTTATTCTATTAACATTTTTATGTAGCTTAGTATCTTATTAGGTTAATTAAGCAACATAATGAAAAGAAAAATCACAGATTTATTTTAAGTCCTTTTAAAAATAGATGCTGACTTATTCTTGGAATCATCATTTTCATTCTTAGCGAATAATAGCAGACCCTCAATTAAAACCCAGCTATAACCTTTAACCAAAAGGCTTTTTAGATTAAAGAGGCATAGGGCCATGGGAGGATATCAGAGATTTCCAGAGTATACTACAGAATACACATTGCGTTATTATGAATGAATTACAAGTCATTACACATATAATTAAGTCTCCTATATCTGTCTCCATTTGCCAAAGCATAATAAGGCGAATGATTGATACTCAGAATAATGGTCCTAGGGTAATTAAGGATGGGATACAACTTGGTGAAGTATAAAGGGCACTAGAGTAAGCAAATCTGGATTTAATTTCTAGTTCCTTTTAAATTTAAAAATTTCTTAATCTCTGTTTCAGTTTTTTCATCTCTAAAATGATGATAATCATACTGACCTCGTAGAGTTACTATAGGAATTGATTGGAGAGAGAATGAGTAGGAATGGTTCAGCTCCTGTAGCTGCAGCATGGTGCCAGCCACATGCACCAAGCCTGGCCCCGGGAGGGCTGACCAACAATGACAACTGCAACAAAAATATGGCCAAGCATTACAGCAGGCACCTGTGGTCCCAGCTTCTTGGGGAGGCTGAGGCAAGAGAATTGCTTAAGCCCAAGAGTTTGAGGTTGCTGGGAGCTGTGATGCCACCCCACTCAACCGAGGGTGACATAGTGAGACTCTGTCTCAAAAAAAAAAAATAGAGAATGATATGGAAATCTTATAGACCAATCACAAGGCTCTTGTCAGTCCCAGCAGAGATGATAGTAACTTGGACCAGTGTGATGGGGTGGGGGAGGGGGGGAGAGAGAGAGTTATTTTCAGTTTAGAACAATGTTCAAGGAGTAAAATTTTTTGATTGATTGCTTGGGGATAATAAGGAAGATGTCAACTATGACTGGGTTTTTGGGTTTTAAACTGGGTGGCATGATAGTACGATTTTAAGCAGGGGATACTGGAAGAGAAGCAGTGGCAGAAACACTTAAACACACCCTTTGTTCTTGTCCTTAAGCATTTTGGAATTTTAGGAAATTTGACTCTGTATAAAGTAATTTGTAACCTTATTTATTTACTTAAAGAAAGCTCAGTGAGTTACAGTCATCTCATTGTAATGTTGTAGTGGGTCATAGAGAAACTAATTTTCTTCAGGGTTTGAACAGGAGCACTTCCTATAGTTCACTGAGTAGTGTTTGTAGTCCTGACAAGTAGGAGGTCAGAGACCTTTGCAGATTCTCATGACTTTCCTGTGTGCTTTCAGTAAATCAGCAAATATTTATCATGTGTTAAGCTGCTATAACAGGTACCAAGGGGAAGATAAAGTAAGACCTGTGTCCTTAAGGAGCTCAATGTCTATGGGAGAACCTGACCTATGTTCCTAAACCCTACAGTCTGATAGTGAGACCTATGACCAGTATTTTATAAAGTCTTCTTTGCTATCCTGAAATAAAATTCAGAGACACTCTAACCAACCTACACATATTTTTTTATGAATATACTACAGCAAATACAATATAAAGAAGAAACAGAAGTAATTTATAATGAAATAATTATGCTGATTTGGAAATGCACAGGTATTACTATGTAAATTGTTAACCAAGCAGTCAGTCAGGTGTTTATGCTAATATATAAGTTACTGTGAATGCCACAGGTACACAGGCAGCGCCTGTGGTGCAGTGGATAGGGTACTGGCCCCGTATATCAAGGGTGGCAGGTTCAAACCTGGCCCCGGCCAAACTGCAACAAAAAATAGCTGGGAGTTGTAGCAGGCACCTGTAGTCCCAGCTACTTGGAAGGCTGAAGCAAGAGAGTCGCCTAAGCCCAGGAGTTAGAAGTTGGTGTGAGTAGTGACACCACAGCACTCTACCAAGGATGACAAAATGAGACTCTGTCTCTAAAAAAATAAATAAATAAAAAATAAATGCCACAGGTACAAAAACAAAGTGAAGTAGGTGTGTTGTATTAATCATTTAGTACTGGAAAATTCACTGTATGCAGAACTGGCCATTCTTTTTTTTTTTTTTTTTTGAGACAGAGCCTCAAGCTGTCCCCCTGGGTAGAGTGCTGTGGCATTACAGCTCACAGCAACCTCCAACTCCTGGGCTCAAGCGAGTCTCCTGCCTCCGCCTCCCAAGTAGCTGGGACCACAGGCGCCCGCCACAACGCCCGGCTATTTTTTGGTTGCAGCTGTCATTGTTGTTTGGCGGGTCCGGCTGGGGATTCGAACCTGCCACCTTAGGTGTACGTGGCTGGCGCCTTAGCTGGTTGAGCTATAGGCGCCGAGCCAGAACTGGCCATTCTTCATGTTTAAATGTAAAATGGAGTTGAGTTCTAGCCTTAAGTAATTATAATTAATTTTCACCTGCCTGCCTGTCTGGTAGGCATGACATCCAGAAGTCAGGCAGCTCACAGGCAGTACTTCCCTGTGATCCATGATCTACACATCCGGCCATCTGGCATCGCTGGTCTGAAAGGCTGCCAGAGCTGCTGCCACCTTACACCCACCCACCCACCCAGTCACTGCAACAACCTAAAAGGCAGTTCCTAATTGACTGGTCAAGAACATTTTGGATAAAGTAGATAAGGCAATATGCAGTCCATGGCAAGTCACTGTTCTTAAGATATTTTGTCTAGAAAATATCTACTATTACTACTACTAGAAATACTACTATCTAGAAAAGTAGTATTTTGGGCCATTGCTTCAGATAGTTGAAAGCTACCTCCAAGGAATAAGAAAATGAGTCTTTGGCTTAGTAGACTCAAAGTTCAAAGCATATGACAGGCCTCCTCCCTTCATTCTCTATCCCAATACCCCTTGTTATTCCTAGTGTTTTCCACTGTGTATTTGAGTGTTGATCCCTTAAACTATTGGGCTGAAACCATGTCTCTTTTGATCCTCACTGTATTATTGGTCTAACATGTGGCACACAGAATAAAATGTTTGATAAACAAAGAAAGCAGGCAACAGAGACATTCTCAGGGAAGACTGCAGGTAAGTCCCATTCTGCTTGTAGGAATGACATCTCCACTACTGTTGCTGGTGTCTCTGAGGACACATAGCTTCAGTGTGCCCATCAGTGAGTTCTCGACTGAGCTCAGGACATTAGGGCCATGGCTTCCCAGGCTACACGTGGGCCAGCTGTCTGGGAAGGCCTAACTGATCCTGCATTGGGAATGATTTTTTCTGTCCCTCTTTATTATGAGGCAAGAAATGTAGAAGGAAAGTAGAATCTCATGCTGAAATCTCCACCACCCTTAGTCATGAGATAGGATGTTACCAAGGTTTCCTCCAGTGGATATGGCTGATTTTGTATTTAATGGGACTGGTTCTTGGACTGTGTTTGGTTTGGCTGCCCACACTTGAGAGGCTTGTCCTGGAGGAACCTGAAGAATTGAATTGGGTCTCAAGTTGTGATTTAAATGGATAGTGTACACATTATATTAAGGCTAGTCTGTAGCTGGGTAATAATCTTATGGTGCTGTTTCTTTGTATTTAAACTTTGTATTATACAAAGAAAAAGTGAGCAAAAAATAAACTTGCAGCTCAATGAATTATCACAAAGCAAACTCCATGTGGCTAACACCCCTAGTCAAGATATAAAAGATTCCTGGAAGCTACCCCATTCCAGTCACCAACTCACCCTTCTTTTTCAAAGATAACTACCGCTCTGACTTCCAGCCTTGCAGTTATAATTCTAAAACTATGATATAATTTTGCCTAGTTTTGAACTTCATGTAAATGTAATAAAACAATATGTATCCTTTTTTGTCTAAATTTGTCTAATTTTGTCTAAATTCTAAATTCTTTGTTTGATTCATCTATGTTATTATAGGTATCAGTATTTTGGACTATTTTTATTGCTGTGTAGTTTGTTACTGTGTGAATATACAACCACACACATACACATATACACATATACACACATATACAGTAGAACTTCTATAAGTTGACCACGCAGGGGACTGTAACAAACTGATCAACGTAAGGAACTAGGGTTACTGTACCGGTATGTACATTATCTGGTCCATGCAAATTAGG